TTTGGGATTAAAATTTTCATGAATGTTGCTTTGAATACATGTAAAAAAAGCCATCATCGAGATTCACTTTTCTAAGTGCATATGCCATGAGAAAATTTGGGCAATGAATGAATTAAACAGAGTTTGAATGTAAAATCTGAAATATTTTAACCTGCAGTGGTAAATGAAAAACTTTTAGGTCATTCCTCTCATCAGTTTAAGCACTTTTAAACTATTCACGAAACCAGGCGAATGTTCTGATCGAGTTCTGGGATTTCAACATTTTATTTAGCAATTGAAAAGGAATAAGCAAAGGATTCAGATACTTATGCGGATAAAATGCACCTAATTTACAAAATCTCTTCATATTTTATGATCAATAACCAATTAAATATGATCTTTCTAGAATTATTATTTTTCTTTACTGAATCATCTCCTTTAAGCTGGCACTAAAATTTCAGGAGCCTTCCTTAAATAAAGCTAACATCCGAAGTAAATCAGTTGCACAGGTAATTAAAAAACTATGAGCAAACTGATCACAATTTCATAAGTTCCGAAAAAATGATAACAAAGCAAAAACAACGAAGAAATTAGCCTGCACGATCTCAATGTACAAATCAGTGGTCTTTCTTTCCTTCCTTAAAATAGTAAATTTCACAGTTTTCAACTGAACGTGACAATTCATTGATGTTTGCGAAATATCAGCATATCTTCATCGTGTTTCTTGAATGTGATCCCCTCGCCTGTAACAGAGAAGTCTTTTTTTTTAATCAATCAATCACGAACTTCCAGAAAACGTATTCCTTTTTGACAGGATGTGAGTTTCTTCGTTTCGCTGTACGTCACATGGATATTAATCATATCAGACATCCTTCCAAAATAAATTCAGAAGGAAAAGTCTTAAGATTTCGATTATAAACTTCTTTCACCTTCCATCTTTTCCTTCTTTTTCTTGTAAGGTTGTCCTTTCCATCTCCCTCGAAAACCCAAAAGACACATAACCCAAGGGCTGTGGGGTGTTCGTTCCCTCCCCCCCCCCCCCCCCCTTCCCCTTTGTAAGCTTTTTTTTTTATCGCATTAGGTAAAACACGGCATGGAGGTCGAAATAAAAATCTAGTGTGTACCCTATGTTTGACCTAGTGTTACCCCCCATTTGAAGTATCTTGGCTACGCCCCTGTAACTGTGGCCAAACTAAATTGTGTCCCATCCTCTCACTATTAGGGGTCCTTGTGTAAAGAGTGGTACCGAATGGAAAGCAGAAAAATAAAACAACAACAACGAAAGTGCATTTCCATTTCTTGCAACGTAACGAAGGCAACTTTAATGACAATCACAATTCATCTATACTTGGGTCGAATGGTATCGCACAGGTAAGCGTTACTTTTGCCAAAAGTAATATTATTCCCGATATTCACAATTTCAATATTAAAATGAATAATAATAACAAATGAAATATTTGAAACTAATGCCCTTTTTGAAGTTAACTCCAAGCAATCTGATATTCTTCAATTCGCTCTGACGAGGGGTAAACGCTCAAAAGTCAGTTTTATGAACTTTTACGGTGGCCAATTTACATCGTCAACTCAGCTGATGAAACCAAATTATCTTTTATCACATAAACTTCCGGCCCTGAGAAAAGTCATAACAGCACACGTGAAAAAATATCGTATTTTTGCACGTGTGTTGATATACCCAATCAGCTGCTGACACGTCACTCGCATTTGGTGCCACTCGGTCAGGTTGATGAATGAACGGAAAAGCCTTTACGATTCTCAATACAAGTTGTTTGTCGGAGCTTCCTCGAATTATGGCGGCTAAAACACTAAAAAATCTGTATTACTAACAGGCAGTGAGGTTCAAACTTTCCTAGAGGAGGAAGAAAACCAATATACTAAAAGAAAAATCGCAAGTTACGTATTCAGTGGCTTTGGTGTTAGCATTTCTCTTGTGTTCAACTCGACATCTCACTAGTCCGCTGCGCTCAGTCATGAGCTGTGCGCATTCACAAATTACGGAATACCCAAGGGATTGCCTGCTGGCGCTGACCAAACTTTCCCTACATAACTTTTAGCATCATCTCAGCCATGGAGCGCTTCCTAGGCTTCCTATCAGTCTTGGGAAAGAGTCATGATCGATACAAAAGTTGTGACGTGAGAGTGAAAGAAAGAAAGAGCCAAACGAGGTGCAGCCTTTTTTTTTAAATGTCTAATCTTTTTTCCACAGTCTGGCTTTTTGGGCTCTAAATTTGTTTCGAGAGCAATTTTTAGTGTTTTGTCTCACTGGATTACATAGTATCCTCTGAAACAAAATGTATATTCAATTTAGTATTCATATTTACAAATAGTCATACCTTAAAATAACGAAGACAGCGATAAAAATGGAAATATATACGATTCATGCTGATATATATAACTCCATATTAAACAGTGAAGTGTATTGTTATTTTAAGAAAGTAGTGCCTAAACTGTATTCGAGAGGCAGCATTTTTTGAAAAGTGGGTTACACCTCGTCAATCAGCGAGTAATCACCAAACTGTCATGTCGACCTCTACGCCATGTTTTACTTGGTGTGACAAAAAAAACTTACAGAAAGGGGGTCATGGGCACCCTTGGACCCCCACCTCTAGCTACGCCCTTGACGGGATTAGGTGAAAACACTCCGTCTTTGTCCTAAGCATATCTGTGCTATGTAGGGCTGAGCTCAAAACTATAATTAATGCAACTCATTAAAAAAAAAAACACCTCCTTTTTTTATCGTAGTCTACTTATGATTATTTTTAACGTGTTTAATACCACACAATTTACGAGAACTTGAAACCCAACTTTGTTTGCTTAGAAGCGCGCAGATGCACACTCTTCATATTCAGCGATACAACATATTTAAACACACACGAGAAATATCATTAAATATTGCTTGCATAACATGTGATTGATAATAGGAAATATATAAAAGGGAATTTAAGCCTTAAAGTTAGAAATGAGACAGTCTATAATGTGATAAACTACAGGTACCGCTTTTTAAAGCAACGGAATAGCTGCCTGTAAATACTACTTTGATAAACATTTAATTTGGCAGACAGTAAGTACATATAAATGGTATTTCGATTCTTATAGTTTCACATGAAATAACATTGAATGTGGCAACTATGTGCACCGCTGTTTTAGGCAGCGAAATATTGCTTTTATAAAAAAATTAATGCGAGCGGCAACGGAAAACATGATGATGTTTGGATCCTTATAGTTGAAAATGAAACACTATGTTAATTGACAGGTAAAATACTTTAAATGAGGGTGGCAAAAAGGTTGTGCTGATCCCATTTCATGCACGGATTTTCAGAAAAATTCACGCATCACGCACATGAATAAAAAAGGAAAACCTAAAATCTGTCTTCCTCTTGAGGATTTCACGGGTGGCATATATTTAAGGAGGCAATTATCACGTCTCACGCTGGTTAATAAATTCACGAATCACGCTCGCCTTTCTTTAAAATGGTTACATATTGACTTTGGCCTTAATCACGCGACACGTGTAAACCATTTACCACCCTCGTAAATGTGTACCACTGTTTAATGCAAAGAAATAGCTTCCATTTTATTAATCACATCCAACATGTCATCGGCCCCAAAGTCATACATCGTCTGAGGGGTTGGCTGTAAATGGGGCAAAACACAGTTAATATCACAGAGTTGTTGTAGCATATCGTTCTTTGCCAATAGGGCGTCTTCGTCGCTTACTTTAGCCAGGAGGTGTTCTATAACCTCAAGTCTACTGCTTGCATACTCGAGTGAAGCTTCGAAATAACTCAACTCTGCATGAATTTTTTCCTTCTGGGTCTTTACTGCTCCTTTAAGTTCATCCTTCATGCGTTGCTTTTCTCCTTTTAGGAACTGAATTACTTCATTAAAGAAGTCGTCAATTTTCTGGTCGACCTCTCGTGCGTTTTGATCCAGACTCTTTTTCTGCTCCTCAAAAGCACCCATAGATCCTTGTAAAGCAAGGACTTTTTCTTTTGATTCCAGCATGGCATTTACTATCTTTTCTTTCTCAGCGGGAAATACATCTTTAGCGAAGTTGTACTCGTGGTC